GACGTATCACATAACACTAACACCGGCTCCAAGATCACATAAAGCAGTTTTAACATAATTTCTTTTAATGGAGCATGGTATAGTTGGTACTCCTGGATCTCCAAGTTTCTTTGGTATTCCACCCTTAAAAGTATAATTAGCAAGCATGATGAAAATTATAGCTTCCGGTATCTTTCTCTTATTAGTAACATATCTTTCATGTACTTAGCATAAGGATTCATTTTAAGCATATCAGTCAAACACATACGCAAAAAGATAGGTCTAATCATTTCAGCAAAGCGCTCAAAATCCTCATCATCCTTTTTCTTGGATGGTTTAGGAGGAAAAGGCATGGGTTTTTGAACCCGTGGTTCTCTTTCTTTACCGTGCTTCCTAGCAACAAAGTCTCTCTTATCATAACGTTGATTCTTTGATTGTGGGTTATCAAGATCAACAACAAGTTCAATCTCTACATCATTATCATTGCTAGGTTGAGCATCAACATGAACATCATCATTAACATTATCACTAGGTTCATATTCATTAGCAGATTGTGTTTCAGCATCAAAGATAGAAATATCATTAGGATTCTCAAGTGTGTCTACAGCAGGTTCACTAGAAGCATGCAAAGTCCTATCATTTTTCTTTTTCTTCCTCTTAGAAGGACTAGGTGCATCAACATTATTTCTCTGGGAATCTTGCTCAATTCTCTTAGGATGGCCCTCGAGATACAAAGGTTCCTGAGTCATTTTACCACCTCTAGTCATAACTCTAACAGCATTATCATTTTTCTTATTATTTAATTCATTGAGCAAATCATTCTGAGCTTTAAGCACTTGTTCTACTTGAGTGGTAACCATAGAAGCATGTTTACTAATAATTTTAAGTTCACCTTTAACACTAGCCATATAATCACTCAAGTGTTCAATCATATAAGAATTATGTTTCAATTATCTACCAACATAAGCATTGAAGTTTTCTTGTTTAACAATAAAATTATCAAACTCATATAAGCATTGGCTAGCAGACTTATTATGAGGAATATCACCTTCATCAAATCTATAGAGAGAATTTACCTTTACTACCTGTGTCGGGTTATCAAGACCATGTATTTCTTCGATAGGTGGTAAATTCTTAACATCTTCAGCTTTAATACCTTTTTATTTCATAGATTTCTTTGCCTCTTGCATATCTTCAGGACTGAGAAATAGAATACCCCTTTTCTTCGGAGTTGGCTTAGGAGTTGGTTCAGGAAGTGCCCAATTATTTTCATTAGTCAACATATTATTCAATCGTAATTCAGCTTAATCAACAGGTTTTTCCCTGAAAACACAACCAGCACAACTATCCAGGTAATCTCTGGAAGCATCAGTTAGTCCATTATAAAAGATATCCAGTATTTCATTTTTCTTAAGAGTTTGATCAGACAAAGCATTAAGTAATTGGAGAAGCGTCCCCCAAGCTTGTGGGAGACTCTCTTCTTTAATTTGCACAAAATTATATATTTCCCCTAAAGTAGCCTGTTTCTTATGAGCGGGGAAATATTTAGCAGAGAAATAGTAAATCATATCCTGGGGACTACGCACACAACCAGGATCAAGAGAATTAAACCATATCTTAGCATCACCCTTTAATGAGAATAGAAATAATTTAAGGATATAATAATAGCGAGTTTTCTCATCATTAGTGAACGGGGTAGCTATATCATTTAATTTAGTAAGATGTGCCACAACAATTTCAGATTCATAGCCATAGAAAGGATTAGATTCAACCAAAGTAATTATATCAGGATCAACTGAGAAATCATAATCCTTATCAGTAATAAAGATAGGTGAAGTAGCATAAGCAGGATCATATTTCATTCTAGCATTCAGAGATTTTTCTTTCAGCTTAGCTAATAGTTTCTTAAGATCACTTCTATCATTGCAGGCAAGAAAGTCTCTAGCAGTTTCTTCATCCATAACATAACCCTCAGGCACAACAGGAAATTCATATCTAGGGGAGAATCTTCATCATCACTTTCATCAATACTATCAGTTTCAATAATTTCATTCTCTCTAGCCCTAGCAAGTTGTTCATCAAGAAATTCACCAAGTGGCACAGTAGTATCAAGCATAGAAGTAGTTTCATCATAAGTATCATGCATAGCAGAAGTGACATCATCAATAACATGCGACATATCAGAATTAATAGCAGAAGCAGGTTTAGGTGTCGCAAGTTTACTCAAAACAGAAGGTGAATCAAGTGCAGAGCTAGATGGCAGTTCCTTACCTCCCCTCGTAGTTGAGTGAAAATCTTAGTTCTTTCGTCTTTCAAGTTTCTCATAGTGACCAACAGATATAAATCCCAAGTGACTCAAAGAATAGAGCTATGCTCCTTGGCAACGGTGCCAAAAAATGGTCTTAATAACCCACAAGTATAGGAGATCGCAACAGTTTTCGAGGGTAGAGTATTCAATCCAAATTTATTGATTCGACACAAGGGGAGCCAAAGAATATTCTCAAGTATTAGAAGCTGAGTTGTCAATTCAACCACACCTGGAAACTTAATATCTACAACAAAGTATTTAGTAGCAAAGTAATATGATAGTAGTGGTAACGGTAGCAAAAGTATTTTTTTTGGTTTTATAGTGATTGTAACAGTAGCAGCGGAAAAGTAAATAAGCGAAGAACAATATATAAAAAGCTCGTAGGCGATGGATCGGTGATGGAGAATTATGTCGGATGCGATTATTCATGCAATAGTTATAACATAGGGTGACAGAGAACTAGCTCCAGTTTATCAATGTAATGTAGGCATGTATTCCGAATATAGTCATACGTGCTTATGGAAAAGAACTTGCATGACATATTTTGTCCTACCCTCCTGTGGCAGCGGGGTCCTATTGGAACTAAGGAATATTAAGGCCTCCTTTTAATAGAGTACCGGACCAAAGCATTAACACATAGTGAATACATGAACTCCTCAAACTACGGTCATCACGGGGAGTGGTCCCGATTATTGTCACTTCGGGGTTGCCGGATCATAACACATAGTAGGTGACTATAGACTTGCAAGATAGGATCAAGAACTCACATATATTCATGAAAACATAATAGGTTCAGATTTCTGTTTTCTCCATTCGACTACTTTGTCTTGATCTCACCAGTGTTCCCGGGTTGATTCTTGATGGTAGTGTTTCCCATGGTGCTTGTTGCCTCTGTGTTGGCGGTGTCTCCGGTTTTATACTGGCTATCGCTCCTGGATGTCATGTTCCAGCTGGAAGAGGGGCGTCCCTCTCGGGAGGTCGACGATGGGTTTTATCTTGATTCTTTGACAAAGTATTTTATTTACTATACTAACTAAAATACATATGTGATAAGACAATTCGAACAAAATATTGGATCTGAAGCATAAGAGAATAAATATAATTTATAATAAACATCTATACTTCCATATAACTTAATTCTTTTTATCATGTTATAGTTTAACAAGTGTACTTTAACTAGTTAGCATCATTTTTTGCGGGGAACTAGTTAGCATAGTTAACCATGTTACATTTGTTGATAAATATTACTATATTAGGTATACCATTTTCCTTATACAATTAATTATTAAATGTCACAAAATTATTTGCATTGTTCTAAATTAAAATCTATTTTGTGATCAAAAAATCTCCTCCAATTTTTTTTGACAATTCAATAAACTATAGAGTGTGACTGTTTGTGAGAGAGGGGAGTATGTGTGTCTATCTATATTTTAATATTTTAAAATCATGATAGAGATGTCTTAAACATACGATCAATCAAAAATCTTAGTAAAATTTCCTAGTGTATGATTATGTAATCATATCTATGGAAACTTCTAGAATATAAGTTGAACCATTGGCATTCACTCTTGACTAGTATTTTTGTGTTTTTTGCACGTTCTAGTGAGTTCATCAATAAGCTACATCATGTGCATGTTATACTTTGTATCAAAATAACATCACTTATGTTAACATCAGCGGTCATGAAAACTTCATGTATTCCACTACTTATGTATACATACACTTTGATTATTTTCAAATACTCATTTGCAATATGTTTAGTACCATCGTGTGTATACAAGTGCTCTGGTGAGTCTCTAAAATAATAAGTCTCTCGTGAAAAAAACTAGAAATCTACTTAAGTAAGATTTATTACAACCTACATGATGTCCATCGGAGAGACACTGGCATCATAATGTGGCAGTTGATATATGCTATTAGATCATAGTGTGGACTAAAACTTATGCTAAAACATCCATTTTTTTGTCGTTCCGACGACCTGAGATTCAAAACCACATAATAACATTTCTTTTGGTCCTGGATTGAACAATTGAGAATATTATGTATGTAATAATCCCTTAAGAATTTTGAAAATAAAATTCGACAACAATTATAAGTGGAAATACTTTGGCTATAGTTATATCAGGATTTGCTGCGCTCGAATGTTCATCATTATGTTTCATTGTGTGTCAGCACACTTCAAACTTCATAGAGTTTTGATATGTTTTGTAGAGCTACAATATGTTTCATAGAGTTCCACCATGTTTGGGAATACAAATTCAAAAAGCTGTCGAAATGCATTCAAGACTGGCCTTGCTTCAAAGTCTTTGTCACCAGGAACGCAGATATGCAAACGGATTATAATGGTTTTTTTGGCCACGATAGTGAAGATTTTTGGTTATCCAAAAAATATCCTTTCCGGATGTGTTTCTCGCTTACCCCTGGGGAAAACGGAATAGTACATGATACCGTGACTAGTTCGCACAATACGTCTAACCTAAAGACGTTTTTCCCGTGAACTCCAACAAAGTGACTTGCCCCCGTGCCATGGTGGTCGTTGCTTCGGTGGCAACTGGCAAGTGAGGAGACGCGGAGGTGAGCAGGCAAGCCGCGCAGCAACAGCCTCCAAACTCCGAGGCGCCGTCCAATTCTCCGGCGGGCCGAGGTCGCCGCTGCGGAGGAGGAGGAAGGGCAGAGGGGAAGGCCCTCGCGGGGCGCGGCCCGGCGGAGGAAAATGGTGGTGGTGGACGCGTCGGAGTTCGGGGCGGAGGGGTTCGACCCGAAGCGGTGGATCAACGCGGCGCTGGACGCGCGGCACCCGTCCGAGCCGCTCGACCGCTTCCTCGCCGACGCCGAGGAGCGGCTCCGCGCCGCGGCCGACGACGCGGGGGCCGCGCTCGAGCGGGACAGCGCCGACGCGCTCCGCCGCGTCCCGCTCGCCTGCCGCGACGCGCTCAGGCTCCGCGACGACGCCCTCGCGCTGCGCTCCCACCTCGCCTCCGTCCTCCAGTCCCTCTCCCAGGCAGGTGCCCCCGCTCTTCCCACCGCCCCTCTGTCGTCCCCAGTCGGATCTGGATCTCGCGCGCGTTCGCGCCCGGCATGTATGTACTGTCGCGAAATCGAGACTCGTTTGGATGGGTGTTCTGCAGTAGGTTATCGGTGCAAATGTGCTAATTCTCATACTGCAATTCAGGCTGGGAGTGGTTTAGCTATGATTCAGTTTGAGCATGTATGACTCCTTCATGCTTACAGTTAGGACTCTGCTGTCGCCACCATGTTTTTAACTGGATCTGGATCTCAAATTCCGAGGCCATGTCATTTGTATCTGTGTGGTCTTTGCCTTGTACATAGCATTTTGTTTCTAAGACAATAAAATTATTATGCTACGTCCATAACATAATGTTAGATAGCACTATCCAAAATAGTACCAAATTCACAGTTTAAGCTTTGATTTGATCTATTTGGCCTTTGGACGCACTGTCTCCTTTGTTGTTATGTGGAATCTGATCCCTCAATTTTCCTGGGCTTAGTGAAACCCTGCTAGATTTTGGTACTAAGTTAGAAAAATAAGGAAGAAGAACATATTAGTTTGGGATGCTACCATGTTTTGTACTTATATACTCCTACATCATAATTATGCACACAGAAAACTCTTGAGCATACTGTATAAAGTACATAGAAACTCACAAAATTCAGAGCTGATGTCCATGTAAACTGTGTCTAAGCATGTACGTTATTGCCATAAAATACTGAGACCTATAGTTCTAGTTAATTACATGTTTAGAATCTTCTCGAAAGAGCTGCAGCAGTAACATTTTTCTCCCAGTGTGATTGAGTGTGTACTTCTGACTGCAATGTAACTGTCTAATACAATTGTATGACTACAACAGCATTTTGTATGGCTTTTTTGCGGAATACAATTGGATTTGATTCATGCTAGATTATTTGGAATTATTGTTTCCTTATTCTAATGCAATGGGAACATTGGGAAGTATATATTAGTGAAGTTAAAAGCACACATGCCATCTGCATGTATCACGAACAAATTTCGCACACATTTTCAGCTTTATTTTGTAAATGTGTCTGTTAACCAAGTACTTATGATAATTTCTCCAACCAGGCTGAGGGCTCATCTGCTGAGTCAATAACTGCGCTAGCACGAATTGATACTGTGAAACAACGCATGGAAGCTGCATACACGACATTGCAGGTATGTTTTAATAGTATCTACCATGGCACGGCACATGTCACTAGAGTACCTGCTTTACTCAAGTGGTAAGTTCTTATCTAATAATTGTGAGATTCTGTTGGCTGGAACTGCAGGATGCAGCTGGACTAGCTCAGTTGAGCCAAAGTGTTGAGGATGTGTTTTCGAGTGGCGATCTTCCAAAAGCCGCAGAAACCCTGGCAACCATGAGACATTGCTTGTCAGCAGTTGGGGAGGTACTTTACTCTCCCCTCTCTCTTTCTCACCAAGCATCTATGCAGGGCCTTTTCATTTAGCTTGTTAAATGTTGCTTTCAGGTTGCAGAGTTTGCTAATGTGAGAAAGCAGCTTGAAGTATTGGAAGAAAGGCTGGACGAAATGGTTCAGCCCCGTTTATTGGATGCCCTTTCTAACCGCAAGGTTTCTGTCTCAAAATTAGCTCATTGTTAACACTCCATGAAACATCTTTATTTATTTTATTTTGAACCTCTTCCTGTGCAATTTTGGTTGAAAGATTGATGCCGTGCAAGATCTTCGTGGTATATTGACACGTATTGGGAGGTTCAAGTCACTAGAGGTGCAATACACTAAGATTCATATCAAGCCTCTGAAGAAACTCTGGGAAGATTTTGACCTAAAGCAAAGGGCCAACAGGGCAGAGGTGGAGAAGCGTGGTGGTGAAATCACTAGTGTCTCATTCTCAAGCTGGCTGCCAAGTTTCTATGATGAGACACTACTTTACCTTGAACAAGAATGGAAGTGGTATGTCCATGTGATCCTGTTTTCTTTTATTCTGTGTTGACAAATACTTGTGGTTCTAAATTAAGTCACACACTAGGTGGCCCATGGCAGCAGTTTGTAACTAATCTTTGGGCCACATGAAAAATGTTTGCCCCACTGACTATCTATAAACTGTAGTGTTCTAAAATGCTAATACTTGCAGGTGCTTGACTGCATTCCCTGAAGAATACAGATCACTGGTCCCAAAAGTACTTGTGGAGACCATGAGTGAGTTGAATTCAAGCTTTGTCTCTCGTGTTAATGTAGCAACTGGGGATGCTGTTCCTGAAACCAGATCTGTTGCAAAAGGTATACTTCGCGTATTTGTTTGTTTATTGGCAAGTTATTGGTTATTTTTTCTTGTTTGTTGCGGAAGAGCACTTAGTTTTGTTCCTTAATTAGTTGATTTATTTTCTCTGTCTCCAGGTGTACTGGATGTTATATCAGGTGACTTGCCAAAAAGCATCAAATTGCAGAATAAACATCTTGCTGCACTAATCGAATTGCACAACATGACTGGCACTTTTGCTCGGAACATTCAGCACTTATTTTCAGAATCAGATCTTGGAGTTGTGCTGAATACATTGAAAGCTATTTATTCCCCATATGAAACCTTTAAGATGAGGTAAGCATTTAAAGTCGTTTTATCTGATAAAAGCAAAGGAAAGAAGATGAAAAAAACTTATGTCGCATCTTGTTACCTCCTGTATTTACAACAAGTTGTAGTTATTAATGCATAGCACTAAGCAGTTAGTTCTGTGTAGTGTATACTAAGTTTCATGTCATGTAGGTACGGGCAGATGGAGCGCGCTGTGCTTTCTGCTGCGATGGCCGGTATAGATATCCGTGGAGCCATCTCCCGTGGTTTAGGTGCACAAGGTATAGAGCTAAGTGAAACTGTCCGTAGGATGGAGGAATCCATCCCACAGATGATAGTACTTCTTGAAGCAGCTGTTGAGAGATGCATTAGTCTCACTGGTGGATCAGAGGCAGATGAACTGGTACTGGCTCTTGATGACGTCATGCTGCAATACATATCTAATCTACAAGAAACTTTGAAGTCCCTGAGGACGGTATGTGGGTTGGATAATACCACACATACTGATGCCTTGAAAAAAGATGCAGGATTAGAGAAAAAGGAAGCACCACGATTGGTGGATGTGTCTGAAGAGGAAGAATGGTCAATTGTCCAGGGTGCTTTGCAGGTTCTTACAGTTGCCGATTGCTTAACTAGCAGGACCTCAGTTTTCGAAGCTTCTTTAAGGGCTACTCTTGCCAGGATTGGAACAAACTTTTCTCTTTCCGGATTTGGTTCTAGCATGGATAAATCATCTGCTGGTACTGCTGATGACAACTCGGGAGCACCTCTGGGTGGGAGGGCAGCACTTGATATTGCAACCATTCGACTCACCAATCTACCAGACAAGTCTAAGAAACTCCTCACTGTGCTAGAACAGGTAAGTTATATGCTTCTAAAATGTCTTGCATTTAGTGTTACAACGCAGGGGTCAACTGTAAATCTGAACAATTAGCTAGTGACTGAACTTGCAAACGATGCATGTTAACCCTACTCTTATTTAAGTAGCAATCAAGTCCCGAGTTATTTGACTTTTGATCTGATGGTTCAGACCGCAGACTGCATTTTCTTATTGGGCTGAGTCAGCATGTCTATTCTCTAGAAAATGATGGACTTCTGTGTTTGGTAAAATATGTATGCTTGATCATGTTATATGCTCTTTACATGGTTGCTCAAGATTGCTGATCATGAGCGAGTCCATGTATTTACTTTGAACAGAACATATGGAGTAAAACTGTTGGGTTTGATTTGATTATAATCTCTTGCTCCACATGAAATTTAGCAGCAACTTTCTTTTGTACTCCCTCTGTTCCTAAATATATGACGTGTTGGTAGTTCAATTTAAACTACCAAAACGTCATATATTTAGGAACGGAGGAAGTATTACATTAAGTTATTAGTATTCAGCTCTGGCATAGAACCTATTCATATACCTCTTGATTCTTGCACATAGAATTTATTTGCCCTTCATCCTCTGTTCATTTAAAGAAACTTGTTTCTGTTGTACAGTCAAAAGATCCAAGGTTCCACGCTCTTCCCGTCACGTCACAAAGAGTTGCGGCCTTCTCAGACAAAGTAAACGAGCTTGTATATGATGTGCTCATTTCCAAAGTCCGGCAGCGTCTCTGTGAGATTGCCCGCCTCCCAATCTGGTCGTCCGTGGAGGAGCAGGGTGGTCTTCCTCTTCCAAGCTTCAGTGCGTACCCACAGTCATACGTGACCAGTGTCGGGGAGTATCTCCTCACTTTGCCACAGCAGTTGGAGCCTCTCGCTGAAGGCATCTCAGGCAGTGAGGCTGGCAATGATGAGGCTCAGTTCTTTGCTACAGAGTGGATATTCAAGGTAAGTGATACCACATTCGAAGTCACATAATCTGGACTTAGCATCTTCAATAAGAGTGTCCATTACCTAGCATCTTCAATAAGAGTGTCCATTACCCTGTTTACTTGTAAAATATGCTGTCAACAAAATCAACCGTGCTCCAATGCTTATTTTGTTTTATGTTGCAAATTATGTAGGGAACTGTGCGTTATACATATTGAAAATATGTGCATCACAATTGAACAGAACAATACATTAAATCCCCTCAACAGTCTTGTCATATTTACATAACAACAAATAATAAAAAAGCATGAAATCAAATGCTTTGAATTCAAAACATGCCGAAAATTATAGTATGTTTTCTTGACCTTCGTTTCCATGTCTCAGGTCGCCGAGGGTGCCACCGCCCTGTTCATGGAGCAGCTGCGCGGGATCCACTACATCACGGACCGGGGCGCCCAGCAGCTCGCGGCGGACATCGAGTACCTGAACAACGTCCTCTCGGCACTGTCGATGCCGATCCCTCCATTCCTCTCCACCTTCCACGCCTGCATCTCGACCCCGAGGGACCAGGTCCGCGACCTGATAAAATCGGATGGCGGGACCCAGCTGGACCTCCCCACCGCCCATCTCGTCTCCAAGATCCGGCGCATCTCGCTAGAGTAGTGAAACGATGCTGATCGCTGTGGTATTTTTGCAAATCGAAGTTAATGTAAAGGCATGCAATGTGCTCGTGTGACCTTTGCTTTTCTTCTTTTCCAACTTTTTGGTGACGGTGAGCTTTGACCTTGTAAGTTGTTAACTGCACTGCTTTCAGATATAAGTATAGAAATACCGCACTGTATTACAGAAGAATTTAGCACTTGCAGCCTGTCAGTAAGTTGACCAAAAAAGAAACAATAGGGAAATTGTTGGTCGGCAGGTGCCAGTGTTTAACCAGAAGTCGTACATGTGTTATGGAGACATATTAGTGGGGACGCGGCCTGTTGTTGCCTAGCTTTTCGGTTTTGTGTTTTGGATTTTCGGCAATTTAGTGATGGTGTAGGGTTTGGGTCTGAACATACTGTAGGGTTTATAGGGTTTTCCGTGGCTCATATGTACAAAACTTAGGCGGTATGTCTTTCTTTTTTTTGAGAATCAAGAGTAACTGAGTTACTCAAGAGAGGGGTGGGCGATCCCTGATCATCATGCCTCGTAGTCTGTCTGGTATTCCATCAATGATTAGTAGATCACCCTTCTGTCTAGCCTCAGCTGCTAGTTCGTGGGCCAAAGCCTTGCATTCCCTCCCAACCGAGGAGAATCTATGGCTGGTGAACAACGCCAGTGTCTCCTTTATGTCACAGATTACTCCAAAGCACGGGGAAAGGCAGGGACCAACAGAGGTCAGGTCCTTAATTACAGATTTGCAGTCCATTTCCACTTCAACCGGGCCCTTGTACACTGCGGCTAGCGTATGCAAACCCGTCAGGGCTGCTCTCGCTTCGGCCTCTTCCACACTGCTCGATGCCTGTATCTGTTTCCCAACCGACAGAACAACCCGGCCACTGTGATCTCTGGCGACGGCACCCGCCCAGCATTCGCCTGACTGGCAGTAGGACGCATCTGAATTCAGTTTGATAGATCCAAGTGGAGGAGCAGTCCACTGAATGCACCTCTGAACCGGCTCTTTGGGCATTTGGTTGGCCATTGTTGAATATGTGTACATGTACGTAGGTCTGGATCCTGTATGCAATACCTGTTGTATCTGTCTCCCTCTGTATGTATGTGTATCTTAGGAGACAAGATATCGGTTGCACCCCTTGTACCTATATATATGTGCCTAGTGCACGATCAATCAATCATTGATGCACCAAATCATTCTCTACATGGTATCTATCGCAAGTCGATCTTCCAGCTTCCGCTAACCCTAGCCGCCGCCCCAAGCCGCCGCCTCCACCTCTCCTCCCCGCGCGACCTCCCTCCACCGCGCGCCTCCTTCCCCACGCCGCACCGCCCGGCGGGCCACCAGGCCCTATTCG